TTGATCAATCAATCAATCAATCAATCAATCAGTAGTCTATAAGGGGTTTCCAGTCAACCATATATGTAGATGTTGTCTTTTCTCTGATCAAGGAAGTTAATTTAGCCATCTCTACAAGTTTCATCATCTTCACCAACCATTCCTCCATTGTGGGTAGTGTCGAACCTTTCCACTTTTGAGCATATAATAGTCTTGCTGCAGTTGTCTTATACAAAGTTCCATGACTTTTTTCTAGTTGCCTGTCCAGTAGTCCCAAAAGAAAAATCTTTGGTTTCAGTTTTACTTTAATCTCTCAAATCTGAATTAATGTATCTATTTGTATCCAACAATTTTTGGCTTTTTTACATGACCATCAAACATGATAAAATGTCCCTGATAAAATGTTGTTTGTATTTCCAGCAAATATTTGAAGTGCCTTTATATATTCTAAACAGTTTTTCTGGTGACAAATATCAATGATACATCCTTTTATAAAAATTCTCCTTAAGACTAGAACGTAATGTAAATTTCAATCCTGATGAGAGATTCATTTCCAGATGAAGAAAGTATAATCAATAAACCTCAAGTAAAGGAGAGCCTTTACTAAATCTAGGCAAAATAGAAGCAATAAAATAATAGAATTATCAAAGATACATTTTTATGTTGTGAGATTCCATGTTCTCCTCCCCTAGCCCATTTCTCCAGTTTTAATCATGCTTATATCCTTGTTCTTCAGTTGCTGTTGGAAATATAAAAGTCAGCACTGGTACAGATGCTGATTCCCATCCCATGCAACTAACAGTAAATTTGGGGGTAGTTTTAAGATCTGGGAAATAAAAAGCATAGAAGGGAACAAACAGTCCATTTTGAGCGCCAGTTGCTTGAGAGAAAGATACTTGATGGATGGAGGGACTGACACAAGACAGATAAAAATAACACTTTACTTCATAATGCAGTACTTGTTATCTCCACTTGGTTTTTAGTTTTCATTTATAGATGCTACTTTTTAAAAACTGATATAATGCCATTCTAGTGCCTTTAATATTAGCCGGACACTTGAACAGTTGAAGCTTTTCCAAAATTTAATTTCATGACAGAAAGCTTTCCCATTAACTGAAGCGTATGTTGAAATTCTGCTCCATCTCAGGCAGCCCCATAGGAGTCTACCTGCTGGGATCCAGTTGCTCTTTGGAGAAGGTACTCCCTTTAAATGGAACAAACATTAAAAGCTGCTATTTGAAATTAGAAAAATTTCCAGGGTTCTCAAATCACAGCAAGGATTTGTTTAAAAGCAGCATATTTAATAGAAAAGAAATATGTAGCTCAGAGTTGAACTATGGAGTCCTTGGTGCTCTCTGAGCTTGGTTGTTTGCTTGCACACGTTTCATTGCTAGACTAGGTAACATCATCAGTACTAGTGAGTGTGGGATTTGCTCCCTGTTTACAATAACATGTCCTGCCAGTGTTGGTGGGGGTATGGTTTTCTCCTTGGTAATTCCTTGGTTAGGGTGTTGTTTCCTGCTTGGTTGTTTGTCTGGGGTTAATCCCTGCTTATCCTCTGATTGCTGGAGAGGATGTGTTCTGGTCTTTTTGTTTCCTTCTTAGCTTTTTTATTGTCTCTTTTGAATGGGGTGTAAATGTAGTTTATGTGTCTATTGTTGGTTGATTTGTCTGAATGCCAAGCTTCCAGGAATTACCTAGCATTTTTGGATTTAGCTTGGTCTAGGATGCTGACAGTTTCCCAGTTGAAATTATGGTTGAGTCTGTCCATGTGTTGTGAGATTAAGCAGGTTTGATCGTGCCTTCTGACTGCTAGTTGGTGTTCATGGATGCGCCCTGCTAGTCTTCTGTCTGTCTGTCCTACATAGTGGCTGTTACAGTCCCTATGCTGTATGCTGTAGATGACTCCTGTTTTTTCTTCCTGGGTTTCTGGGTCTTTTGGTTTGTGGGCCATGTTTTCGAGGGCTTTAGTTAGTTTGTGTGCTACAGTGATGTCGTATGGTTGTAATAGTCTGTTGGTTGTTTCTGAAATGTTTTTGATGTATGGCAGTGTTAT